TCATCGTGCCTTATCTCTATTCCATCGTGCCCCATCTCTATTCCATCGTGCTTTATCATTACTACATCATACCTTATCTCTATTCCATCGTGTTTTATCTCTATTCCATCTTACCTTATTTCTTTTCCATTATGCCTTATATCTATTACATCGTGTCCTATCTCTATTCCACCGTGCCTTATATCTATTCCATCGTGCTTTATCTCTATTCCATCGTGCCTTATCTCTGTTCCATCTTACCTTATTTCTTCTCTATCGTGCCCTATCTCTATTCCATCGTAACATATCTCTATTCCATCGTAACATATCTCTATTCCATCGTGTTTTATCTCTATTCCATCGTGCTTTATCTCTATTCCATCGTGCCTTATCTCTATTCCATCGTGCTTTATCTCTTTTCCATCGTACCATATCTCTATTCCATCGTGCCTTATCTCTATTCCATCGTGCTTTATCTCTTTTCCATCGTACCATATCTTTATTCCATCGCGCCTTATCTCTATTCCATCGTGCCTTATATTCCATCGTGCCTTATCTCTATTCTATAGTGTTTTATCTCTATTCCATCGTACCTTATCTCTATTCAATCGTACCTTATTTTTCTCTATTGTGCCCTATCTCTACTCCATCGTACCATATCTCTATTCCATCGTGCCTTATCTCTATTCCATCGTGCCTTATCTCTATTCCATCGTACCTTATCTCTATTCCATTTTACCCTATTTCTTCTCTATTGTGCCCTATCTCTTTTCAATCGTGCCTTATCTCTATTCCATCGTGCCCTATCTCTATTCCATCGTGCTTTATCATTACTACATCATACCTTATCTCTATTCCATCGTGTTTTATCTCTATTCCATCTTACCTTATTTCTTCTCCATTGTGCCCTATCTCTATTCCATTATGCCTTATATCTATTACATCGTGTCCTATCTCTATTCCATCGTGCCTTATATCTATTGCATCGTGCTTTATCTCTACTCTATCGTGCCCTATCCTTATCTCTTTATCGCCGATACAGATTCCAGAAACTCACTAAAAACTAAAAACTAATTAATAATAACATTCTTACTTACCTATGAAAAACCCACTCCTAGATTTATCAGTATTGGATTCAACAAAGGTGACGAAGAAAGGATATCGAGGAGATAGAGCCACTCCGTTTAATATACATCCCATAACCACCATCCAAAACGATATGGTTCCTTCAATAGCTTCTGTTTGAACATCTTGATGGTCGGCTTCAGAACACTGCTCTCTGACTGATACGTTGCTATCTTGACATAGATGTTCCCGTATCGGACTGAGATTCCCTTCAATAACACTGTCATTAGAATAGTCAGCATCACCAGGTCCGAATATAAAATGAGGTAGACTACTGTCTAAGGCTGTGATACCGAATACCAATGTGGTTATTGCTAAAATTTTAGGTATATGAACTTTGTTGGCGAAATATCCTACAACTATGGTGGTAGTAAAAACACCCAGATCCATGCTGGATACCAGGAAACCTACAATTATAAAACAAGTCGACATTGTCCTTACTGTACTGTTAAATATCGAGGCGTCAGTTTTCGTGCAAATATTAATGTTATTTCCTGGACAAACATACAAGCCGTGGCTTAAGTACTTCAGGGACTGACTGACCCAAATCCCCACCACTAATTTCGTTTCGGTATCATTTTTTGTCGATCTACAATGGTGACAGACGAAAAGTTATAACGAAACGAAATTGTAATCTGACTTTATTAAGATTTCTACTAAAAAAAGGGAGGAGGGGGGAGGGTGGCGTGCAATTCAGTTGACTAAACTAACAGATGGGTCTCGAATGCTGGAGAGTATATGTTTAAAGATTCACGACAGGGGCGCCACTGCATACTAAATATGTCTAGACACATTTTGACTTGCCTTGCTCAGAAGGTAGACTAGCTTACAGCTCTGAATCATTCAGTTATTGTCAAACATGACTTGGACGTTAGACGCAATGATCTCGTTTCGGATAATAAAATTGTCAAACATTACCTGTTTGTGAGCTGGAGAGATGAAATTCACGTTCAAGCGCGGTAATTTGTGAAACCACATACACAATGACAGTGTTAGACAATAAATTGGAGATACAGTAACAGAATATGAAGAATCTTATATCGTTGAATAACAACGAACGCTGTGGTTTGGGTTGTGGTTCCTTCAATGACGACATGTCCGGTGAATCATCTCCCATCTCATGGTTGCTAGGAACCGATGATCCTTCCATCATTTTGGCCCTCCTTCTCGTTTACTTCTGCATATCAAAATTAATTTACAAATTAGGGGACTAGTTGAGTTCAACAGTCTGGTTTGTGATCCAACACACTTTGTTTGGCCTGAAAAAGATATTTTCATAAAGCGTGTCAAGTAAAATGAACAGAAATAAGTTGATTAGATGACTACATCCCTTTAAGTTCTAGCTGCTTTAAATTAACTTATAAAAAATTAATCGACCACAGTGGTTTCAGAAACACAATGAACAGAGAAACACTGAGAGTCAAAAATTAGTTTTGAGATAAAGAAAGGTTTCAGCAGGCCGAAAAGTGGGTCATTTCTATAATAACATAATTTCTAAGTGTGTATAGGCATACAGGACACAGGTCATGTAAAATGATAAAAAATTGAAACTTGGGGGGGGGGGGATGTTTGGAGTTCCAAACCCCTGGCCCCTCTGCCCTCCGTAGAAACGCCACTGGCCAAAGCCAGTGCTTCTAAAGTAGGTCCCGTATCGGCTTTCAACCCCCTTAATTTCAACTAACTCTCCATAGATACGTACGTAGATAGTGCACAACTTTAACACTAGCTGATAGAGCTCAATTGTTTACAAACATAACTACTTCAAGGCCGGTGACAAAATACTCAAAATATTAGTATGTGTATAGCTTACTTGGTCTAAAAGTTATGGAAATCGGTGAAAGTTCGAATTTTTTATTTCAGTCGCAGGAATTGGAATTTTTGGGCTAAGCTTATCAGTAATAGTGTTCACAGCTCACCGTCGAAATTTGAGCCTTCAAATCCATGTGTGTCCAGAATTATCAGTGTTTGAATGTTAAACTGACGACTTCGAATTTAAGATACTCTGTGATATATAGAAAATACATCTATAGAAATAGTGAGTAAAATTACAAGTTTGAGGTATTTTTAAAGAAACATGTGATTTTCGTACATTTCTAGTACTTCTAAAGACTATTTATATTCAGGTCCCAAATTAACCTGCCCACTAATAAGGCCGGTGACAAAATACGATATGTATAACTTGCCTTGTATGAGCAATGGAATATTTACTTCTTGATATTTACTCCATCAGCTGGTAAAACTGAGTTGTTTACAAGCATCGATGCAACAATAAACAAAGTACGTATGTTTCCCAAACAAATAATCCAATACCGAGCTTCACTGTACCTTTATTGCCTTCCGTTGAATGAATAGATAAGATATGAGTATAGTATCTATTGAAATGAGGTTATATGACAGCAAGACTTACTATACCTATCATAATAATAATAACAACATCAACTTTATTGTTTGTCTACAAAAAAATAATGACCCAATTTATCGACAAGTGTTGTTATACATACTTTTAAAGTAACACAAGTTGAACTTATTTCTGATCCAATTTTGTGTCAAGGCAGTTAAATGAACATTTTTAAAATCACAAGTCCAAAGTTTTGGAAAATTGAGTTCACCAGGGGTTATGTTTCATATATAACCTTGCTATAGTGACTTCAGTGTCCCGACTCATTTGATTGGACAATTACTAAAATCAGTATTAATTTCGGCTTGATGAGCCAATTCATCTCTCAATGGTAAGCTATTACTTAGTTTAATATTTTAACCGCAATAGCCACCTATAATATCACAGAAAGTTGTTGTAGTCAAGGTATAAGACTATGTTCGCAATAACTTGACATTGTGAAGATGAAGCTAATCATATTACTGCTATTCTTAATAATCTTGTTTGCATATTGAAATGTAAATTCAAAAGATTTGAAATGAGCTTCATTTTCCCCCCAAAACAGGTGTTTAAAGATGAGTTCCCTTATTTCATTTATGAAAATGAAAATGCTAATACTTATATGAATAGAAAGTAGGGGTATTCTAATGACTTGGAAAAATATCAGGTGGTCTAACATGTCCATAATTAATTCATAATTAGCTAAATTAGAAGAGATTTATCAGCAGAATTCCAATGAGTGACCGATTAAGAAAGGTCAAAAACTCTTTTTTTTTGTTTATCCAGACTGTACATACATGGACATTTATGATTGGTTAAAACTCTTAATTATATGCAATAAGAACATAATGATATGATTAAGAAATACATGATAATTCATTAAAAACACCAATTAATCAAATAGTTTGCTTAAGTTGACACTCATGAATAAGGAAGACTATCTTTAAAGTTGCTTATTCGACATAATACCATGTATTCACTCTGCATATTATATTCACCAGGATTTTTGTATTGAGATTTCTAGTCTAGCCTAACGTAAAGTCACGTGACAGGCTTATAACTTGACCTTGTTTTATTGATACCTCCAGATTTTCTTATCTTGATCAAGGGTTTGAACAATAAGGTCTATACCCTTATCAGTAGACTTTAACGAAATTTTATTTTATTTCACGAACTAGATCTCTTTGCAATAAGCCGCGTGAAAATAATGTTCAATGAGGCAGTTTTACTAAGAAAATATTCAGTTTTTCTGACCCTTACAGTTGCTTTATATACCATTCCGGTCTGTAAGTCCACTCAAAATAAAAGAAAAACAAATTAGGAAGGTTCTTACTATAAAAACATTAGCCGTCAAATTACTATCAGGGTTAAGTCTTAGACCACCCGATACACATAAATAAATAGGCCATACAATCTTATAACAATGGTTTAAATAAACCTATGAATACTTCATGCATACAGGTAGAACGCACTATCATAGAGTTCAGTTTTTATTTATAATTCAATGCATTCAATAAAATTTTAGGTTAACATCTTCACAACATCAAGTTATTACGAACTCCGTCTATTGACTACCATAATAACTATGTATATCGGAAGTGATTTGATTGAATTGTACACAAGCGAATACAGCCAATCAGAGCCCATAACAGAAAGTATTAGAATAGAAACCGTAATGTTTCCATTCTTTATACAGAGGGTTGTAAAAATGGCTTGATACTGTGAAGATACAAGAATAGATACTTTTGTAGTCAAGGTATAAGACGCAGTTCGTAATGTCTTGATACTGTGAAGATACAAGAATATATACTATTGTAGTCAAGGTATAAGGCGGAGTTCGTAATAGCTTGAAATTATGAAGATACAAGAATAGATATTATTGAGATTTTTTTTTATCTCCGACTCGAAACTTGAGTAAAATCTCGCGAGTACCCATGCTTCCACGACAAGATTATCGTGTCACCCACAGGATTTATAATAAAATTGTCTCCGATAGTTTTATCGTCTGCAAGACAGACCGTCATCATCCAATCAGATTCCCTTTCCTTTCAATTGCATGCTCTGCACATGATAATCGACTCGATGGAAAACGACCGACTGGAGATTTTTGTCTCCTCGTGTGCCGTGTCAGTCGTTGAAACTCAAGACAGGACTCTAATCGGCGACAAAAGTCTCCGACCAAGACTGCTCACGTGTCCGCACCTTCAGTCGTCTAAATTGTTGTTTCGCCAATTCAAACTAGCCTTCTATCACACTACATACGCACACACCAAGAATATCCTTATTATATTAAACAAAACTAGAGTAACGAACCAATTCAGAGTAAATGTCCTTGAAATTGGCCACCAGAATGTGTAACCTCGGAATTGACACTTATAAAATCATTTATTAGGTCATAATTGATTTGAATATAATGTTATTGGATCATTTTAAATAGCTTGGTTAATCAGGATACACCCTTTTCATAGCAGTAAGGATATAAAACATTCCTTGTGCTACAGATTGTACATGTTAGAAGTCCCTGGACTGTTGGAAATCGACAAGGAGTTGGTTAATGCAGCTCTCCTGACAGCATTCCCCTCAATACACATAAAGAAATAAAAATGTTCATTTTAAAAATTCATGGACAGTTCTAAATTGAAAACAGAGTGAGATAATGCAGCCCAATTTTCACTCACTGCACACTGCATCACGTTGTCCTCATTAGCCCAATTAGGCACAGAAGAGTAAGACGTAAAACTCCTTTCATGTCATGTCATTTGAAAGAAATATACAATTAAAAACAAATATCATAAATCCTATTAAAGAATTAGTCTAAGTGTGTTTTAAATTAGTTATCTACCATCGATTTCATCGAATTACATAGAGCCACATTATCAGCATTCACCGAAAAAACCCTAAGTTTAGCTCAAAATTTTAGTTTGAAGTTTCCACTATAATATACACAAAAATGACAAGACCTATTCTAATATCATCCTCTAGAGATATCAGTCAATTCACCAGACAGACCAAATGACAAGACCTATTCTAATATCATCTTCTACAGATATCAGTCAATTCACCAGGCAGACCAAATGACAAGACCTATTCTAATATCATCTTCTACAGATATCAGTCAATTCACAAGACAGACCAATTGACAAGACTTATTCTAATATCATCTTCTACAGATATCAGTCAATTCACTAGACAGACCAAATGACAAGACCTATTCTAATATCACCCTCTAGAGATATCAGTCAATTCACCAGACAGGCAAAATGACAAGACCTATTCTAATATCATCCTCTCGAGATATCAGTCAATTCACCAGACAGACCAAATGACAAGACCTATTCTAATATCACCCTCTAGAGATATCAGTCAATTCACCAGACAGGCAAAATGACAAGACCTATTCTAATATCATCCTCTCGAGATATCAGTCAATTCACCAGACAGACCAAATGACAAGACCTATTCTAATATCACCCTCTAGAGATATCAGTCAATTCACCAGACAGACCAAATGACAAGACCTATTCTAATATCATCCTCTACAGATATCAGTCAATTCACCAGACAGACCAAATGACAAGACCTATTCTAATATCATCTTTTAGAGATATCAGTCAATTCACCAGACAGATCAAATGACAAGACCTATTCTAATATCATCTTCTGGAGATATCAGTCAATTCACCAGACACCAAATGACAAGACCTATTCTAATATCATCCTCTAGGGATATCAGTCAATTCACCAGACAGACCAAATGACAAGACCTATTCTAATATCATCCTCTAGAGATATCAGTCAATTCACCAGACAGACCAAATGACAAGACCTATTTAATATTATCTTCTAGAGATATCAGTCAATTCACTAGACAGACCAAATGACAAGACCTATTCTAATATCATCTTCTACAGATATCAGCCAATTCACCAGATAGACCAAATGACAAGATCTATTCTAATATCATCCTCTAGAGATATCAGTCAATTCACCAGACAGACAAAATGACAAGACCTATTCTAATATCATCCTCTCGAGATATCCGTCAATTCACCAGACAGACCAAATGACAAGACCTATTCTAATATCACCCTCTAGAGATATCAGTCACTTCACCAGACAGACCAAATGACAAGACTTTTCGAGTGTGAAGCCATATGGTTGTGGCTATAAGTAGTCATTATTCTACCGGATGTGTTTATTGATGTAGAACAGGTGGACTTGAAACATCTCCAGTGCAGTGGCCGAGCCAGATTTACGTCCGAGAGGGGTCGAAATATCTGATATATAATGGATGGGGGGGGGGGGCGCTAACCCCTCTGCCACCCTCCCCCCTTTGAGGTGCAGAGGTTCTGACCACCACGTCTATTTGAAAGAAATCGCTCGTTCACTTGTACATTAGCCATGATGCAAGGAAATAATAATAGTGATATAATATTCCCGTCGTTATTTACATGCTTCACTTCACTTTATTCAATTTCAAAATTATATTCAACAATTTGACACGTGAACTTGTATCACTAATATTCTCTTTAAGTTAGGTGTACATAGTTTATATCAGCTCATTAGTAATCCCACTAATCCGTATAACCCAACTAATCCGGATTAGAAAAATTTAATGCGGCTAATCTGTCGGGAAAGTGAGAACAAACCGAATTTTATGTCAAAAATACTCTCTTTCAACTTCTAGTAAATTGGCAGTTAACCGATGATCTCAAATCAGACCCGGTTACCCGTGAAATCATACCCGAAATCGGATTCTCCGTTTCAACAGTTATTACGGTAGACATATTCCATTAAATTGCTTCAAAAAAACAGCTTACGCGTGCGTTAAAAAGAAGAAACAGGAAATTAATTATTGACATGAGGATGATTAAAAATTTCAAGAAAGACTCACATCAATTTTCCATGATTTTGAGAGTCATTAAGTGGACTTTTCCAAAATATATATTTAAAAAAAAAACCTAATTACTTGTCTGACCTAATTAGCTTGTGAGACTTTGAAACTTTGGCATTATAATTGAATTTAAACATCTCCACGACCTCAAAACTATTTTACTATGAATTCTTAGCATGCTTATCAGACCGAACATGTACTTCATTTCATGAAAATGTGCATTTGGAACACGCCTTTCATTGAATTTTTCACAGTTGAATGCATTTTGTCTGTTATATAAAGCACATAACTCACCCTAATTTAATTTGATGTATAACGTAGTTAATACATTGTAACTATATTGTAAGGAGATGTTTAATTTTGAGATTACTAGGTTTGGTTATTATAGTATAAATAAACAATATTTCTATATCGCTCTACAGTGAAAATATTTTATTATTGTAAATAAATAATTCAAACAGAACCTGAAAAACATAGCTGTAAATTGGTAGAGAAAATCCGGTACGGTGACATAGGGGAGTAGCAGTGGAATAGATCAGTAAGTAGCATGTTGGATTGTTGTCTGCTGGGCGATTAGGTGCTGTGGATTCGAATACTCCTCAAGTTAAGAACAACTCTGATGCCTGTGGTTCCGATAGCTCGGTGTCGGGTTCACCCCATAATACCCAAAGTAAATCATCAGATGGCGTTAATATCCGTTCTTACTAAAACATGACCGACCAAAAACGACCAGGAAACAACCAGAAACCGAACAATATATGCATAATAGTTTGAAGTATTTCATCGGTCGTTTCCTGGTCTTTTCTTGTTGTTTCACTTATTCGTTGATCGTTTCCAGGACGTTTCTGGATGGTTCATGTTTTAGTAAGGTTTATATCTGTCCTCTTTAGTTACGTAATCCCCCCCAACATCCAACTATGTTTGTAGCTAATTTGAAGGCCTGTTGATATTCTTACACATTCTATATATTTGTATCAGTTTTCATCTTATATTTGGAGTGTATGTTGTAATTATTTAAATTTTGTTCCAAAAACAATATTTATATAAGTGTCCTTGACACCTTTCAGTCTTGTTTTAAACATTTATTTTCTTGTTCACCTATTTACAAAACAGTTAGGGCTTTGTGGCGTGTTGACTTCTTATCTTATCATAGGATAGAGACGAACTGCAATAGGGGCGTTGACAGGAGACTTAAAAAAGAAGTAAAATGTTGAGTTATGGACGTTTCTTGTTGATATTTTCTATAAAAACAAGTTTTCTGACAGTGTCGTCATATAATTATCATCAGGGCGAGACGCAAGACGTTGACGGATGTCCTTTCATATTCAAAATAAGTAAAGTGGTTGCTATATAAGTTATTGGCCAGTATGCACCATATAAAATCAAATTAAGAAGAATAGAATTATTTTAAACCTTAAATAGATTTAGTTAAATGTATTTAAAGATAATTGTGGGACTTTGCTACGGCAAAGTCCCAGTTTGTTATCGAAATGTCAATTCTTTTTTTTTTTTTTTTTTTTTTTTTCGAAATTTACACACCTTCCTGAGCTTAGACTGCAGTAGTTGTAGCAACCTTTCAACGTTCACGAACCTTAGATATAGGCGACGATGTGCATAAATATATTTTGGATCTTTTTTGCAAAACCGGAAGTGCCACAGTTCAATATGTGCAAGAATAGATAATCGGCTCTAGAAGACGTATTTTTGGGTCGATTTTCTTTGGGTTTGCATTTTTGGAATCTACTGTTAAAATCTGAAAGAATAGCAGTTTCAAAATTTCAAAATTCGAAAATTTGTCGCAGATATTTTTTTTGCCAAATTTTGCATTTTTTTCATTTTTTTGCTTTTTGTCTGATTAATCTGAAAAAAATTGAGCAAAGACAGTTTAAGAAAGTAAACAAAACGGTACAGTCAAATTTTCAATTTCACTTCCGGTTTAAACAGGAAATTGATGTTCACTTCCGGTTAAATATCTTCCGGTGTAATTTGTATAGGACAAAAAATTTTATGCTGATAGGTAGACAAAGTTATGACAAAAAAACGAAGAAAAAAAAATCCGGAACAGAAGTGAAACTTTGGCCGCCATTTTGATTTTTCTGAAATGATTCGATTTTTATTCGGACATAATGGCTCATCCGATTTAAATGATTTTGGTGTCAAATGAAAGAAGATAAAAAAAAAACATGACATTAGGAAGCCGTTTTTCGATTCTCAATTTTGCTTTTTTGCAACATCCGGTTGAATTTTTTCAAAGTTTGAAGGGTCATATCTCGTGATCTTGAACTTTGATGACCTTGACCTTTATAAGGTCAAAGGTCATTGACCTTAGCTATCAGTTAATACTTTGACATTTGACCTCCGACATGTACTTCCGGTTTTATAGCTTTCCGAAAACAGCCAAATTGGCAACTTTGGACTGCTCTAGCACGTGACCTAATTAACCTAGAGGGATTCTTAATGTGCTTTTCATGCTCTTTCAAGTGAATTATAACAATCGTTTTTTAAAGCAAAATTGAAATTCGTGAATTTTTCAAATTTGAGCTTTTTTTTACAATATTTCTGTTTCTTTGAGCTTGGTGTGTATATATCTTATGACCTATTTTATGTAGAACATTGAAACTTGGAACACAACAAGACAATTTGAATATGAATTAACCTATGACAAAAACGTTGAGGTGGGCGTGGCACATCCGGGTGGAATTACTAATTGTTTACATTTTGGGAAAGGGGCATAACTCGCATAGGATACATTTGTTCAAAAAGGAACTTTGCACACAATTACCTCATTATTTTGGCCAGTTTGTGTTAATAGGTCAATTGTTTCAGCTTTATAGTTCCAAAAAAGGGACGGGTTTTGAAATTTCCATATTTTCAATTTTCTATTTTGACCTTTATTGACTCTTGTTGACCTATATCTTTTGACCTGTATGATGTAGAAGCTTTAAATTTGGGATACTACATAACATTCAGAATATCAA